CTTTGATTTTTTTTAAAATGTTCCCAATCTTCTCATGGAGCGATGCTTTAGTAGTGTCAACAATTTATTGCCATTCATGTGGATTTTGTTTATTATTTTGCCTGCATTCCAGTTAGATTTATTGCTAGTGTGTGGGACTTTTTAAAAAAAAATTAATACATTATAATTATACATTATAATTATGTAACCTAGTTGGAAATTATTTACGTCTTATTTACATTAGACATTAAGAATAGCATTTTGAAATGCAACGCCTATAAAGTGCTATGTTGTCTGACAAAATTATGTTTAAGAAAGTAGAATATATTTTTGCACTTTTTACATCATGATCTTGGAGTAGACCACCAAATTGAAGTTGCAACTTGGCTATGGACCTGTAGATCACTTTACAAAGTAGACAAGCTGTGAGATCCCAGGCATTTACAAAGGGTGGGATGCCACAAGATTCTTCTGTTGTGAACAAACAACAATAAGCGTAACTCTTTCTAGTTAATGAACTTAATTATAAAGAGTCAGAAAATTTAAAATAATCTACAATATCTGTGCAATTATATTTTAATATCCAGAATTAACATGAGGTAAACATGGGAGACAACTGAGATCAAGTGACTCGCTTGAAGAGTCGAAGGAGAGTAGGGGCATTCTTAAGAGGGAAATCAGGTGAGCAAAAGGGGGATATGAGATAACCTTATCTGCCAAGGCTAAAGATAATCCAAAGACATTCTACAAGTACATTAAGAGGAAAAGAGCAACTAGGGAGAGAATATGTCCCTTGATGATCAATGAGATTGTCTATTTGTGGAACCTCAGGAGGAATATACTGAATAGAAATACTAAATGAATATTTTGCATCAGTATTTACTGTGGAGAAAGACATGGAAGCTAGGGAACTCGGGAAATAAATACTGATGTCTTAAAAAGAGTCTACATTATAGAAGAAAGATGCCTGGAGTTCCTAAAAACATGAAGATGGATAAGTCCCGGGGACATGATCAAGTGTAGCCCAGACACTTAGGAAGCTAGGGAAGAAATTGTGGAACCCCTAGCAAAGATATTTGTATTATCAACAGCCTCAGGTGGAGTGCTGTAAGATGGGAGGGAGGCTAATGTTGTGTCTTTATTTAAGAAAGACTGCAAGGAGAAGCCTGAGAACTACAGACTGGTGAGTCTGACATCAATGTGTGTGTTGTTGGAGCGGATTCTGAGAGACAGGATTTGCATGCATTTGGAGAGGCAAAGACTGATTAGGGATGGTCAGCATGGCTTTGCGCAAGGGAAGTTGTGTCTCAAACTTGATTAGAGTTTTTTGAGGATGTGACCAAGAAGATAGAGGAGGGCAGAGCAGCAGAAGTTGTCTACATGGACTTTACTAAAAGTCTTTGACAAGGTTCCACGTGGTAGACTGGTTAGTAAAGTTAAATCGCATGGGACTTAGGGAGAGCTTGTTAATTGGACACAAAATTAGTTTGATGGTTGGAGACAGAGGATTTTGGTAGAGAGTTATTTTTCAAACTGGAGGCCTGTGTTTTCCGCACGTCTATTGTTGTTTATCGTTTATTAAATGTTTGAATAAGAATTTGGGAAACATGTTTAGTCAGTTTGCAGATGAGACCAAAATTGATGGAGTAGTGGACAGTGATGAAGGTTATCTAAAATTACAAAGGGATCTTAATAAATTGGGCCAATGGGCGAAGGAGTGGCAGATGGAGTTTTAATTTGGATAAATGTGAGGTGTTGCATTTTGGTAAGACAAACAAGGGCACGACTTATACAGCTAATGGTAGGGTCTTGGGGAGTATTGTCAATCAGAGAGACCTGAGGTTCAGGTACATAATTCTTTGAAAGTTGACAGGGTGGTAAAGAAGGCATTTGGTACACTTGCCTTCATTGCTTACACCAATGAGTAGAGGAGTTGGGATGTCACGTTGGAGTTGTACAAGACATTAGTAAGGCCACTTTTGGAGTACTTGTACAGTTATGGTCACCCTGCTATAGGAAGGATATTTTTAAATTGGAGAGGGTGCAGAAAAAATTTACAAGGATGTTACCGGGACTGGAGGGTTTCAGTGAAAAAGAGAGGCTGGATAGACTGGGATATTTTTCACTGGAGTATAGGAGGTTGAGAGGTGACCTTTTATAGCGGTTTATAAAATCCTGAGGGACATAGATAAGATGAATAGCAAAGGTCTTTTCCCTAGGGTAAGGGAGTTCCAAACTAGGGTGCATACACTTTTTAAAAAAAAAACCTGGAAAGGTTCAGATGTTTGTGGACGGAGAGGGAAAGAAAACAGTGACGCCCACAGCAATTAATATATTGTTTTAAATTTACAGCACTCTTCCAGAGATGATAGCATTATGGTAACGTCACTGAATTCGTAATCCAGAGGCCAGGCTAATGCTCTGGGATTTAGAAGCCGGTGGACTTTAATTGCAATAAGACTGGAATATAAAACTAATTTCAGAAAAACTGGCCAGGAAACCATCATCGATTTTCATAAAAATAAGCCTCTGTTTAGTTCATAAACAATCTTTTAGGAAGAAAATTTGTCATCTTTACCAAGTCTGGTCGACACTCAATTCAAAGACAATTACGGATGGAACAACAAATGCTGGCCTTGTAACTAATAGCCATATCCCATGGAAGAGTGATAATAACACATTTTGAAGTAATAATAACACATGTTGAAGTCTGACATATCTGCCTCAGCAGTGCCCACCTCTCCCACTGGGGCAGATCGCTGGGCACTGTTGCAGGCTTGCTGCTTGGCCTCTGTCTCAAGAACCTGCCTGTTTACCAGTTCAGAGGTGCTTAGTCAGGAGGCTGTGTCATATAAATGGCACCGCTATCCACCTTAAGACCATAAGACATAGGAGTAGAAATTAGGCCACTCAGCCCATCGAGTCTACTCCACCATTCAATCATGACTGATATGTTTCTCAGCCCCATTCTCCCGGTTTCTCCCTGTAACCTTTGATCCCCTTGACAATCAAGAACCTAACTATCTCTGTCTTAAATATACTCAGTGACCTGGCTTCTACAGCCTTCTGTGGCAGTGAATTCCATAGATTCACCATTCTCTGGCTGAAGAAGTTTCTCCTTATCTCCGTTCTAAAAGGTCTTCCCTTTACTCTAAGGCTGTGCCCTCGGGTCCTAGCGCCTCCTATCGATGGAAATATCTTCCCAACATTCACTCTGTCCAGGCCATTCAGTATTCTACAAGTTTCAATTAAATCCCCCCTCCTCCTTCTAAACTCCATTGAGAATAGGCCTAGCGTCCTCAAATGTCCCTCATATGTTAAGCTTTTCATTCATAACATCAAAGGGAAGCGGTGACATAGTAGGAAATGTTACCCTAGTTATCCAGAACCCCAGGCTACCGTTCTGGGACATAGGTTTGAATTCCACCACATGCAGCTGCTGCAGTTTGAATTCAATAAAATCTGGAATAAAAACCATTGAATCCCTACAGTGTGGAAGCAGGCCCTTTGACACATCAAATCGATACCAATCCTCTGAACAGCAGCCTATCCCGTCCCTGTAGACCTGCATTTCCCATGACTAATCCACCTAACGCACACATCCCCAGACACAATGGGTAATTTAGCATAGCCAGTCCACCTAACCTGCATACCTTTGGACTGTGGGAAGAAACCCATGCAAACACAGGAGAACATGCAAACTGTACACAGTCATCCAAAGGTGGAATCAAATGCTAGCGCTGCAAGGTAGCAGTGTCAACCATGGAGCATCTGTGCTGCTCTGACAAGTTGAATGGCAAACACACAACTACTGTCAATTCTTGTAAATACCCTTCTGGTTTACTGGTATCTTTTAGGGAAGGAAATCGGCCATCCTTCCCTGGTCTGGCCTATTTCAGACCCACAGTAAAGTGGGTAACAATTAGGGATGGGCAATAAATAGCAGTGACACCCACATCCCATGAATAAAGAGTGACAAGCAGGGCTAAGGGCCTGCATACGGCTCCCTGACAAGTCTCCAGCCCCTACAGGACAATTCAATTCCTATGGATTAATAGCTTTAACTATGGGGCTTGCGCCTCTTTCAAACAGGGCAACTTGACGTTCACCTTAAATGGGGAAGAGCCTCATTAATCAATTTGTACTTTTTTGAAAAAAAAGCTGGAAATGTTCAGACGTTTGTGGGCGGAGAGAGAGAAAGGAAAACAAATTTAACATTTCTAATCGACGAACAGTGAGCAGAGTGAGGATATGAAAACGGAGACTGTGACAATTAACACAATTCGATCAGGGCTAGGAACAAAAACAGAAGTTGCCGGAAAAGTCTGGCAGCATCTGTGATGAAAAATCAGTGTCAACGTTTCGGGTCCGTCGATTGGAGGATATGGGAGTGCATCGAAGGATTTGCTTTTTTAAGATAACAAGGCGTAGAGTCGAATGGACACGGCAGGCCAAGCAGCATCGGAGGAGCAGGAAGGTTGACGTTTCGGGTGTGGACCCTTCTTGCATTTTTTGTTAGTTTTCACAAAACATTTTCCGCACCCCCCCCCCCCACTCAGTGTGAGTAAGTTAGAGTTAGAGATGACAATACACAGGTTACAGACTGATAGGAAACGCGGCTGTTGAGTTTTTAAACGAAGGGACAGGCCGCACCATCGCGGCGCCGCTCGGGTTCCAAGCCGTCCCACACAAAGCCAAAGGCAACAAGGTGCTCGAGCGGCACATCCACTGATCATGATGAAGCAGGAATCAATGCTGCAGAAAACACGCAGACACACACAAACTAAACCCACAGGCAGGGTTAATTCTGTTTTGTAAAACCACAATAAGTGTTAAACCTTGAAGACAGGTTCAATACCGAATCCTTAGCCACCCCCATAGAGAAGATGGAGGTTAAGGGAGAGGAGAGGGATTAGGAGCTGAATGGAGATAATTCCAGCCTCCCACTCCCAAAATTAAATTGGGAAGAGGCTGACGCCATTTCCTGGGATGGATTGACGCATGCTCTTTATTGTAGTTGGAAGGATTAGGTTAATTTGAAGAGGAGGTGCTGCATGTGTGTGGTTTGTGTGCAGCGCCGGGGCGAGCTGTATCTCGGTTACATTGTGTTTCGGAATTGTTACTTTTTGAAACAAGAATCGGCGACTTTGCTGTGAGTGATCAGGCGGGGGATTGGGGAGTTTGCAGCTGGAGCCGTGGGGAAGATGCTGGGTTTACTGAGGAGGACTCTTGGTCGCCGCACGGTGCGCCGGCACGCTGACCGGGAGAAGCAGAGGGAAGCACAGCGATCAGGGATCCACATCCCCGCGGCCGGAGACTCCAAATCCATCATCACCTGCAGAGTCTCCCTCCTGGACGGCAGCGATGTCAGCGTTGATCTACCGGTAGATCTGATTGTTTTATTCCCCGTTCCCTCCTCCTTTATCTCTCACTGTCTTAAGTCAGAAGTCACACCACACCAGGTTATGATCCAACAGGTTTATTTGAAATCAAATATTTCAAATAAAATTATTTCATTTTATTATTTCGAATAAACCTATGGACCCGATGTCGTGTGACTTCTGACTTTGTCCACCCTAGTCCAACACCAGCGCCTCCACACCATGACTCCCACCGTCTGAGACATGGCACCACTTCCTCACCTGATTTAACCCATTTACAAACAGCTGGGATGGGTTTCACAAAAGGTCAAACAGAAATTGATGGGAAAAGCTCAGTAGGTCTAGGCATCGTCTGTGCAGAGAAATCAGAGTTAATGTTTCGGGTCCAGTGACCCTTCCTCAGAACCATTTCATCCCCAGGTTTGCATACTCGGAATTTAATCCTGGCTTTGAGGGTAGGGGAAGGGGAATGAGAAAGACTAGCCCATCTCATTTAAAAACAAGGACTGCGGATGCTGTAAATCAGGAACAAAAACAGAAGTTGCTGGAAAAGCTCAGCAGGTCTGGCAGAGCTTTTCCAGCAGCTTCTGTTTTTAACCCATCTCATTAAAACTGTTTCCAGTATTGCAGGCGTGAAAATGCATAACTTGCAGGGCTGGTGTAAAGACTCCGGAATATGCGAGATGTTTTGTGTGTGTTTTTTTCTCGTCATTTTATCAGGATTACTCATGTCCTGGACAATCTTGTGTCCCCGGGCTGTTTGCTTTCCCAGTTCCGCGATAAACTGGAAGAGGCTGTGGGATTGGCCAAGTGATTTCATGCGGGTGTTGTTATCAGTGGCAAATGGCTACAATTTCAGCGGGGCCCAGCCTCCAGATGCGGGATCTTTACCTTAACTTGCAGCTCTCCCAAGAGGCCTGGGAATCACTTGGCCCCCAGTCCTTATCAAATGAATCGCCGACCTCGGTGCTCATTCATCGTATCAATTACCGACAGTATCGTGGAGGGGAGGGAATAAGTTATCGGAGCCGAATTTTAGGCCATTCGGCCCATCGATTCTGTTCTGCCAATTGATCATGGCTAATCTGTTTCTCTCAACTGTATTCTCCTGCCTTCTCCCCAGAACCCTTGATCCCTTCCAATCAAGAACCTATCTTTCTCTCTCTTAAACACACTGAATGATATAGCTGTCTGCGGCAATGAGTTCCACAGATTCACCAACTTCTGGCTGAAGAAATTCATCTTTATCTCAGATTTAGAGGGTTGTCCCTTAATTCTGAGGCTGTGCCCGCAGGTCCTAGTATCTCCTACTGGTGAAAACATCTCCGCGCCCACTGTATTCAGTATTCTCTAAGTTTCAAAGAGCTCCCCCTCTTGCCCTTTCAAACTCTGAGTACAGACCCAGAGTCTCCAACTTCCTGGATGAACCTCCTCTGGACCCCCTCCAAGGCCAGCACAGCCTTCCTTTGATACAGGGCATATTACAAACGCTTGACTGACCAGAGCCTTGTATAGCCTCAGCAGTACATTTCTGCTGTTGTATCCTCATCCTTCTGAAATGAATGCTCACATTGCATTTGCCTTCCTAACTACCATCTGAACCTGCATATTAACATGAAGGGAATCCTGAACTAGGACTCCCAAGTCCCCTTGTATTTCAGATTTCTGAAGCCTTTCTCCATTTAGAAAATAGTCCACTTCTGTAGTACTTTTATTCCTACTAAAGTATATCACCTCACATTTTCCCACACTGTATTCCATCTGCCACTTCTTTCCCCACTCTCCTAGCCTGTCCAAGTCTTTCTGCAGTTCCCCCCTTCCTCAACACTATGTGCTCCTCCACCTATCTTTGTATTATCTGCAAATGTAATAACAATGCATGCAGTTCCATCATCCAGATCGTTAATGTGTAATGTGAATAGTTGTGGTCCCAACACTGAACCCTGCAGCACTCCATTAGTCACCGGCTGCAATCCTGAAAAAGATCCCTTTATCCCTATTCTCTGCCTTCTGCCAGTCAGCCAATCCTCTATCCATGCTAATATGTTGCCCCTAACACCATGGGCTCTTATTTCATAGCCTCTTGTGCGCACCTTGTCAAATGCCTTCTGGAAATCAAAATGGATCATGTCCATTGGCTCTCCTTTATGTAACTTGCTTGTTACGTCCTAAAAGAATTCAAATAGATTTGTCAGGCATGACCTCCCTTTGACGAAGCCATGCTGATTCTCCCTATTTTACAATGCACTTCCAAGTACTCCACAATCTTATCCTTTAGTAATGGACTCTAAAATCTTACCAGTGTCCAAAGTCAGGCTAACTGGCATTTAGCTTCCTTTCTTTGCCTCCTTCCCTCCTTAACCAGTGATGTTATATCAGCAATTTTCCAGTCCTCTCGGACCCTCCCTTACTCCAGTGATTCCTGAAAGATCACGTTGTTAAGTGTGTACAAGAAAATTTTCGTATTTCACGTGTAGATGTACCTACTAGAAAGGGATCAAAACTTGATCTACACTTGGGGAAATAAGGCAGGGCAAGTGACAGAGGTGTCAATGAGGGATCACTTTGGGGCAAGTGATCATAATTCTGTTAGTTTTAACATAGCTGTAGAAAAGGATAGACCTGATCTAAAAGTTAGAGTTCAAAATTGGAGGAAGGCCAATTTTGGTGTTATTAAGGAAGAACTTTCAAAAGTTGATTGGGGCGAAGGGCAAGGCTGGTAGATGTAGAGAATGCTGGATGACTAGAGAAGGTGAAGCTCTGGTCAAGGAAAAGAAGGAAGCATATGTCAGCTATAGACAGCAGGGATCGAGTGAAACCCTGGACGTGTATAAGGACAGTTGGAGTATACCTAACAGGGAAATGAGGAGGGCAGATTGGGGACATGAGATAGCTTTGGCAAATAGGGTACAAGCAAATCCAAAGGGATTCTACAAATACATCAAGGACAAAAGAGTAACTACAGAGAGAATGGGGCTCCTTAAAGATCAGTAAGGCCACCTATGTGTGGTACAGCAGGAGATGGATGAGATACTAAACAAGGATTTTACATGATTGTTTACTGTAGAGAAGGATATGGAAGCTAGGGAACATGGGGAAATAAGTAGTGATATTTTGAAAAGTGTCTATATTACAGAGGAGGAGGTGCTGGGCGTCTTAAAACGCATAAAGATGGATAAATCCCCAGCACCTGATCAGGTGTAGAACTTTGTGGGAAGCTAGGGAAGTGATTGCTGGACGCCTTGCTGCGATATTTGTATCGTTGATAGCTACAGAGGAGCTGCCAGAAGACTGGCGATTGGCTAATGTGGTGCCATTATTTAAGAAAGATGGTAAGGAAAAGCCAAGGAACTATAGACCAGTGAGCCTGACGTCGGTGGTGGGCAATTGTTGGAGGGGATCCTGAAGGATAGAATTTATATGTATTTGGAAAGACAGGGACTGATTAGGGATAGTCAACATGGCATTGTGCGTGGGAAAACGTATCTGACTAATTTGATTGAGTTTTCTGAAGAAGTGACAAAGAAGATTGAAGGCAGAACGGTAGGCGTTGTCTGTATGAACTTCAGTAAGGCATTTGCCAAGGCTCCGGATGGTAGACTGGCTAACAAGGTTAGATCACATGGAATACAGGGAGAACTAGCCATTTGGACGCAAAATTGGCTAGAAGGCAGGAGACAGAGGGTGGTGGTGGAGGGTTGCATTTCGGACTGAAGTCCTGTGGCCAGCGGTGTGCCACAAGGATCAGGGCTTGGTCTACTGCTTTTTGTAATTTATATAAGTGATTTGGATGTGAATATGGGAGGAATGGTTAGTATATTTACAGATGACTCCAAAATTGGTGGTGAAGTAGACAGCGAAGAAGGTTACCTGAGCCCAACAGGACCTTGATCAGATGGGCCGATGGACCAAGGTGTGGCAGATGGACTTTAATCTGGATAAATGTGAGCTACTGCATTTTGGAAAGGCAAATCAGGGCAGGACTTCTATATGGCAAGGTCCTGGGGGGTTTTGCTGAGCAAAGAGACCTTGGAGTGCAGGTTCATAGTTCCTTGAAAGTGGAGTTGCAGGTAGGCAGGGTAGTGAAGAAAGCATTTGGTATGCTTGCCTTCATTGGTCAGTGCATTGAGTATAGGAGTTGGGAGGTCATGTTGCAGCTGTACAGGTTAGGCCACTTCTGGAATACTACATTTAATCTAGTCTCCCTGCTATAGCAAAGATGTTGTGAAAGTTGAAAGGGTTCATAAAAGGTTTACAAGGATGTTGCCAGGTTTGGAGGGTTTGAGCTTTAGCGAGAGGCTGAATAGGCTACAGCTGTTTTCCCTGGAGCGTCGGCAGATGAGGGGTGACCTTATGGAGCTTTACAAAATCACAGCAGGCATGGAAAGGGTGAATAGTCAAGGTCTTTTCCCCAGGATAGGGGAGTCTAAAACTAGAAGGCAAAGATTGAAAAAGGACCTATGAGGCAACTTTTCTCATACAGAGGGAGGTGCGTGTATGGAATGAGCTGCCAGAGGAGGTGGTAGTGGCTGGTACAGTTCCAATATTGAAAAGGCATCTGCATGGCTATATGAATAGGAAGGGTTTAGAGGGATCTGGGCCAAATGCTGGCAAATGGGACTGGATTAATTTCGGATATCTGGTCAGCATGGATGAGTTAGACCAAAGGGTCTTTTCCTGTGCTGGACATCTGTATGACCAATGTCCTTACAATGTTCTCAGCTATCTCCTCCAGGACCAGAGGGATGTAATCATTCTGGTCAGGATGATTTACCCACCTTCAGAACTTTCAGCTTCCCCAGCACCTTCTCCTTAGTGATGACCACTACACTCACCTCTGCCCCCTGACTCTCTTGAAGTTTTGGAATGCTGCTGGTGTTTTCCAACGTGAAGACTGACACAAAGTACCAATTCAGTTCCTCTCCTATCTCTTTGTTCCCCAATCGTGCTTCTTCAGCCACACTTTCCAACTGTCCACTCTTGCTTTTCTCTTACCATTTATA